TCTCTCTCAGTAGCTTGCATGTTCTCTCATTCTCTGACGCTCTAGTTCTCACACAAATATACCCATCTCTCATACACACAGGAGGGGGTTTCAGACAGTTTATGGAAAAACAGAAAAGTTTATAGACAAATACTCGTACACCACACACACACACATTTTTGAAGGGTTTACTGTTTTTATTTCCTAGTTTCTGACTCAATTATAATTAGCAAATAAATGGTCCATGCCACATGCTGAAAAATACTTAGTGACCGCCAGGGGAAAAGATGTGCTTGAGTCACTGGTTTACCTGCTGGTGTAACTAATAATCTATAAATAATTTGTTCTATAATTAAGGTATGGTGCTGACCAACTAAAACAGAGCAGGACTTAGAAAAAAATTCTACAAGCCAAGATGCCAAGACGTCTGTGTTCCAGCTCCCAGCTCCTGAGTGAGCAATGATGATCCAGACTGGACACCTAATTGAAATCCACAGTCATCTGGTTTCTAGGACAGTGCTGATCTGGCCTGCTCTCAGAAGGGAAAATGAGAACAAGGTGACTACAGAGCACTTTTCAGGTGGAAGGGCTGGGGGAAGCTGTCCCCACAGTGGGACTGTGGAGACACCTCTCCGACTGCCATCATAGTAGTGGAAGCACTGACTGTAACTGAGACTGAAGCAAGGGCAAGGCTTTGACTGCTAAGGGCATGCAGGGGCTTCACTAGTCACAGAGACCAGGTTCTAGCAGAGACTGAAGGAAGGGGGGGACAGAGGTACCAGGGGGTGATTTTGTGCTGCCCTGACCCCTTCCTAGTATGTTCTGCTACCCATCTCAATCTTGACTCAGCTCCTACCTCCGACCCATCCTATAAGGCCACTCAAACGAGCTAGGTGATCTCATTCCCCTCTAGATTCCACCTGCAATTATCCCCTGCACATTTGGCCATTAATCATATGATACTGTCCCTGGCTATTTTTGTACATACATTCACTCAACAAATATTTGCTAGGTAACTGCTCTGCGCCAACAACTGATCTGGTACTTAGGACCCTGTGATAGGTTAGACAGGCATGATCTCTGTCTTCATGAAGCTCACAGGCTAGTGGGGCAGGCAGTCAGAGAATGAAGCAAATAATATAAAATTGTAAAGTTGATAAGTACTAAGAAGCGAACAAATGGACTAGAGAGAAGTGGAGCAGGGGAACATCATGGAAGGCCTCTTGAGGAGGTGACATTTAACTCTTACTAAAATTCTAATCCACAACACTAAGGTCGACTCTACTTTAAGGAGGCAGCTTTTCCCCAGCTGTCAAAACATCACCTTATGTACTTTGGACATGTTAGGAGGGACCATTCCCTGGAGAAGGGCATCATTCTTAGCAAAGGAGAGGATCAGCCAAGAAAAGAGGAAGACCCTCAATAAGATGGACTGACAGAGTGGCTGCAGTAATGAGCTCAAACAGCAATGATTGTGGGGATGGTGCAGGACCTGGCAATGGCTGGGGTTGCTATGAGTTGGAATTCAGTGACACCTAACAATGAAAACATAACAAAATTCTAAATTTCCCATATTTGTACCCTGTGGCTCCTGAGGGCAGGATCAGCATAACCCTCACAATGAGGAGTTCTCCTCTCTTAGGTCAGTGATACGATTTGAGTGACGGTCTTGCTGAGTAAATACTCCCATTGGACACACATCCCCTTAAGGTCAGGTAGAAGCAGCAAGGCCCAAAGCCAACAGTCTGGAAGATTTGACTCAACAAAGTTGTCTGGCTCAGAGTCACAAAGCCGATGACACAAAGTGGGCAAGATGCCTGAACAAACTGATGGCTTACAGGGTACTTAGACCACTGCTATTGTTGTTAAATGCCATAGCGTCAGTTCCGACCCACAGCAATCCTACATAGGGTTTCTAAGGAACAGCTGGTGAGGTTGAACTGCCAACCTTGCAGATCAACCTGACTTTGCTATCTAGCACACTAACCCATAGCGCCATACCAGGGCCATTGCTAGGAGGCCAATAACTTGGCACAACTTATTTACAGGACAAGTTGGCAATATCTGCCAAAACATAAAATGCATATGCCTTCTGACCCAGCAAATCCTACCTCTTGGAATCTATCCTAAGAAAAAACTGAGATGGAAGTACAAAATATGTGGAGGGGTACACAAGTTTCTTCCATTTATAGCATGGAAATAAACAGAGGCAAACTCAATATCCCATCAATTGGATATAGTCCAATAAATCGCAGTATATCCTAGTCATGAAATATCATGGAGTCATTAAAATATTCTCTCAAGATAATATTAAGTGAAAAACAGAAGTCAAGGCATAGGTTGTGATTTATTTATACAAACACAAAAGTTCTTTATGTATGCCTATGATATATTTGGAGTCCTGGTGTGGTGCTGTGGGTTAATGCGCCAGACTGCAAAGCCATTTGAACTGCAAGGTTGGTGGTTCAAGCTCACCAGCTACTCCTTAGAAATCCCATACAGGGTCGCTATGGGTCGGAACCTTCTCGATGGCACTTAACAACAACGATGTATTTGAGAAACGTGGTGGCTTTGTAAGATAAGCACTGGACTGCTAGCCACAAGGTCAGCAGTTTGAGTCCACCAGTCACTCAGAGGGAGAAAGATGAGGCCTTCTGTTCCTAGTAAGGATTTACAGCCTCAGAAACCTGATATAGGGTCTTTATGAGTCAGAACCAATTCAACAGTACTTAGCAAAAAAAAAAAAACATGATGTATTTCTGCACTTAGCAAAAAAAAAAAACATGATGTATTTCTCTTGCTGTTGCATTAAGTGCTGTCGAGTCAGTTCTGATTCACAGAGACCTTAGATAGGGTTTCCAAGGAGCAACTGGTGGGTTTGAACTGCCAACCTTACAAGTAGCAGCCCAGTGCTGATCTTACAGCGCCACCCCAGGATGTATTTATAGCTGTCTGTCAATGGATGGACAAAGTCTGCAAAGATGTAAGCAGATCTGCCATGTGGTGGGCGGGATGGGGGCTCAGGCAATCACTTTAATTCTATATTCTTCTATTGTTTAAATTCTTTGCCCCCAAAGTTATGAATTCACATATTACTTGTATGATTAAAAACAAATTTTTTAAATAAAAATTTATATAAACAGTAAAAGAAATTCTAAGGCTTCTGCTCCATTTTTCTCCAAAGCTTGGCCACTTATCCTGGCCTTTGGTTCCCATCCCAATCTCAATCCTCTTTTCCAACAGCTCGGCTTCTCCTGCCTTCAGCAGCACCTAATACAACGCACCCAGCTATTCACAGAGTGCGCTCTCTAATAAAGGGCAGCTTCAGGGGAAGGACTATTATCTGGCAAGTTCCATTAATGCTTCATAATCACTGCAACTATATTTCCTGACCAAAACTTGACCCTCATGACATGACAACAGACTGTAGACTTACTAGGTGGAGCTTGCCAACCTCACCAGAAGCCCATGGCTAGGCCTAATGGCTTCACATCCCAGTCATTATTGTCAAAGAAAAAAGGAGAGGTATTCTAACAAGACAAAACAGTCAGAGCAACCTTCTGGAGTCCTTTCAGGTTCTAAGTGGAACTCTGAGGACTTCTGTCTGCATGGGACCGAGGTAGGAGATGCTGAGCATTCACTACCTATCAGCACCAGAGGACAGGTAGAATAGGCCCTCTGGCCTGGCCCCACCCACTTCTCTTCCTACTGTTCATAAACCAAAATCAATGGCTGGGCTGGACATTAATTCCACAGGGATGTCCGTGCCAGGGACTATCAGTGCCCTCACTCATCTGAAAAGCCAACTTCCTTTCTCCTTCCCTGCAGCTAACCTGGGAGGCAAGAGTCTCCCTGGGGAGTAGCCACTGGCATTATTAGTTTCTCCAGCTATCCCTGCTTCTCATCCAGTCCATTGTTGTTGTTGTTAAGTCCCATAGAGTCAATTCTGACCCAATTCTGTACAGGGTTTCCAAGGAGCAGCTGGTGAGCTTGAACCACCGATTTTGCAGTCTGATGCATTAACCCACAGCACCACACCAGGACTCCATCCAGTCCATTAAGCACAGGAAATTCCTGACTCTGGTAATGGTAATTGAAATGGGAAACAGTACAACTGATGTTCACTAGACCTTGATCATGAGGACAGAGCCTGATGTGAAAGAAAGCAGCATGGTGGGCTAAGGAACCTCAGACAAGGAAGCATGTCTCCACATGAGATTTGCTAGACCACTTGCAACAGAATCTCTGAGAGAACCTGTTAAAAATACAAATTGCTGACCCCATCTTCCACATAGAATCAATCAGTATCTCTGCACATGGGATCAAGGAATCTGCATTTTTAACAAGCTCCTCCTGGTGATTCTGATGCTGGAGAACCACTGTTATATGGAGCCAAGGGAGAGGCTTTCCTGGTCAGAGGGGAACTCCAACCTCCTTGCTCCTTTGACTATATCTGGATGAGAAGCAGGGATAGCTGGAGAAACTAATAATGCCAGTGGATAATTCCCAGGGAAGCTCTTACCTCCAAGGTTAGCTGCAGATATATCCTCCCACTATGTCTGACCTAAGCTCCAGATATATCCAATAACGACACCATTTCTCACCTGCCTTTGCTACCCCAGCCAGAGTATGGGAAGCCTCTCCTTGCCATACCCTCAGTTAGTGCACTCACTGTGGCCACCAAGCACACTAGGGTGGGCTCAGAAACCAAGCCTGATGTGAATCTGTTTCTTGGCTTCTCCCATGACCTTGGGCAAGACACAACCACTGTGAGCTTCAGGTCCCCAGGTATAAAACAGAAATGACACCATCTCACATAACTGTTGTGAGAATTCATTAAGTATTAACCAGGTTCGGTGTTCCACTGCTCATACCACCTCATCTCTACTGGACTGTGATCTATTTGAGGGGAGAACTGTTCCTCATTCATGTCCTCTAATATGCAGAACCCATGGTGGCTTTCAGGGAATGCCTGGGGCTACAAAATGAATCCCTGTCCCCATGCCACCCTCATCTCTTACCTGTCCAACGTTGAACGTCAGTGTGATGGCATAATAGAAGTTCGAGTTGGCACTTCCTGCATAAATCCAGAGGTGCCACAGAACGGGAAAGAGTAGGGAGCAGACGATAATGACACAGGTGAGGACAAAGATGTTTCGCAGAACTGCAAAAACATATGGTCACAGTTAGCCTGATGCCAACTCTCTTTAGGCCTTTCTCCTGGCTCTGATGACCCCCATAGGACAACTTCATGTAGCTTAAAGGCAAGACCTCCCACCACCATAGCACTGGGACAGCAAAAGGCAAACAAACCTCAGATCGCTGGATCAGTGGCTCTCCATGGCCACAGGTGGAGTGGATCTGACATTTCAATTCTGTACCTCCCACTATAGGATAAGTTGGCCAAGACCAGCTGCAGCTAGCAGTGCTGGGAATGCCTCTACTCACTGCAAAGGTGTTTCAGTGAGACACTGCCCCTCCCCTCCAACTTTAGAGTGTCCAAGAGTAATAACTCCCCTCTCCCCAAGCAGCGTGCTGTCTGGCCATCCCAATCATGAATGGGAACCACAGAATTAATCCACAGAGACTAGAGCACCATATTATTGTTAAGTGCCACTGCACTGGTTCGGACTCATTGTGACCCTGTGTAGGCTGGTATGGTTGAACTGCTGACCCTGCAGTTAGTAGTTTACTGCTTATCCTACAGTGCCATATCAGGACTCCCATAGAACATCATAGTGGGTCATTACTGTGCCAGCCCCAGGTCTGAGGAACATGTATTTTATTCTCCTTATCTCAAGTTCCCCTGCCTTGCACTTCAAATATCTCTCAGCCTTCCTTAGATGATTTTAAAATCTTTTTTTATATCCTCCCTCTCTGACATAACCCCTCCAGCCCAAAAGGGAATACTGAATTCTACCAGGGCAAACACTCTCTCCGAGGCCTCAGAAGGACCTGCTGCACTAGAATGATGCTATGAGCAAGCAGTTTAGGTACACCAGGACGGTTAGGCAGCATGGTGGCCTGAAAGACACCTCAATTAAAATCCCTACTCGGGTTAATGCGCCACACTGCAAAGCCATTTGAACTGCAAGGTCGGTGGTTCAAACTCACCAGCTGCTCCTTGGAAAGCCTATACAAGGTTGCTATGGGTCGGGATCGACTCCAAGGCACTTAACAACATCACTTAAAAGCAAGTTTCTCAGAGAGCCTGTTTCCCTATCTCTAAAACTAGGCTAAAATGCCTACCTAATACAAGGATTAAACAAGAAAATATATGAAAAACCTGGCACAGGTATATTAACTGTATGTATTCGTTTTCAATTGCTAATAAATTAATCTATAAATTGTGCAGCAAATTACCAAAAGAAATTAACAAATTTACTGGCTTAAATAATGTTGTTGTTATATGCCATGGAGTCGGTTTCGACTTATAGCGACCCTATACAGGGTTTCCGCGGCTGTAAATCTTTACGGGAGCAGAAAGCCTCATCTTTCTCCCATGGAACAGCTAGTAGTTTCAAACTGCTAACTTTGATTGAGGTTAGCAACCCGATTCATAACCACTATGGTACCAGAGCTCCTTAAACACAATATATTACATCAATATATTACATCAATAAAAGTCTTAAAAACAGAAAAACCATATTTGATACAGTCTATTATCCCACAGTTCTGGAAGCCAGAGTCCAACATGGGTTTCAGAAAGCTAAAACCAACATATCTCCAGGGCTGCGTTCTTTCCAGAGACTTCAGGAGAGAATCTGCTTCCTTGCCTTGACCAGCATCTAAGTGATTGGCGCCCACCAGTAACTCTGCAGGAGAAACATGAAGCTTTCTGCCTCCATAAAGATGTACGGTCTCAGAAACTCTATACAGGGTCACTATGAGTCGGAACCAACTAGACCGCACTTACCAATAACAACAGAGGCTGCCTGCATTCCTTGGATGGTGATCCCCCTTCCTATGTCTTCAAGGTCATCAATGTTGGGTTGAGTCCTTTGAACATCCCATCACTCTGACTTCTTCTGCCTCCCTATTGCACTTTTAAGGACCCTTGTGATTATAATGGACCACCCAAATAATCTAGGATAACTTGCCTCATCTCAAGCTCTTTCACATATAGCCCATTTTCCCATTTAAGGTACCAACTATATTCACAGGTTCTGGGAATTAGGGTATGGACATCTTTGCAGGTGCTACTGATCTACCCATCTGCTGCTCTTTTTTTTTTTTTTTTAAATTCCCTTTTTAATTCAATAAGGGCTGACAGAAAGATTACTGTTTTTATTTCCTTTTTAATACTTTATAATTTTAAAGCAAATTATTTTTTTAAAAGACTACCACAAAGTGAGGCTTTCTACTCCCGTAAAGATTTACACCCTCAGAAACCCTGTACAGGGTCGCTATGGGTCGGAACCAACTCGACGGCACTTAACAACAACAACAACAACCACAAAGCAGGCACATAATGAATGAAAGTTTCCTTCCTCAACAGGGACTCTCTTCTCCAAAAGTCAGAGCTATCCAAGATTTTAGACCTGACTGTCTCAGCTGTACAACTGCTTAGCAGAAAGACTAGACAGAGGACTCTGGATCAAATAGGAGTCTGGATTACAAACATGATTCTCATTTCTGGTTGAAAAAAAAAATACACATGCCTGGGCCCCACCCAGAGCCAATCAAATCAGAACCTCTAGAGCAGGGGTGGGGAACCAATATCCAGCCAGACCAAGTCATTTGATCTGGCCCTGCCAAGGCAACTGAAGTTCCAGCCATCACATTAGGGGTAAATTAAATGTTTGAGCAAATATAGCAGGCTTTTTTATAAGTTGATAATTTTGTATGGCACGCAAATGGTGTTAGAAATTTCAGCGGAAAAAAAGATTCCCCACCCCTGGTCTGGAGCAAGCAGTAGTTCCCAAACAACTCGCTGCACAATGGAATTGCCTGGAGAGTTTTTTTTTAAAAAACACAGTTGCCTGGGCTCTGCCCAGACCCAAAAAATTAGAATCTCTTGAGGAGGGGCGCAAAGCTTTCCAGTTGACTCCAATATGCGGTCAGGCCTGTGAACAGCTGGTGGGATGGCCCTACCAGTACACAACAGATTGCACTGAGCTGTGTCCAAGGGTAAATACTAAACACATGGGAGTTCATAGGTCTTTTTAAAGCTGCATGCTTTCAACTTAAGGCTCATTCTTTACTGTGAAATGGTAGGTGTCTCTTTGCTGCTAAGGTTAAAAAGTGCTTTTTTTTGTGAAATGCAGATGAATGGCTAGTATTTGACTGGTTTGGCACAAAATGTCTTCAGTATAATAAACAGTTGGCAACTCTGTCATCCCTCCAGATGTGTTTTGAATTTTAGTGATCTGTGAAATCACATGTGGAAACACTGACCTGGAGGGCTTCCAAGGACCTCTTTTCAAACCTGAAATTTGGACAATTCTGGGCTTTCAAAGCTAAGAGGTCAGAACCGTGATTCACACCTTCTTGAGACCTCCCAGGGGTGCCTTTTCCTCTACTCCTAGGACTAACACTTCACTTCAGAGAATAGGGATGTTTACACTAATAATAATAATGGTGATAATGATTAAATAATGTTACAACCGAAAATGAAAACAAAGCTATTTACCATTTCTACTCTCCAACATCACTATCTACATTTTCAGATTTTTTTTCACTCCCAGAAATTATTTTGCTGAAAAAGTTACCCACTATTCCTAAAATTAAACTCTTCTGACCTGACAGTCATTGCTCTCTGCCTCTAGCCACTCTGGATTTCAGATGGAGTGACAAGAAAGTGACCAAGTACAAAGAAACTGAGAGAGGTTTTCATGCAGCTCCAAGTACAACCACCATGAGCAATAAAGGCAATTCCCATGTGTGTGTGTGTGGTGGTGGTGGTGGGGACCCTAGAGCACAGCCAGATCACTGCTAAGCCATCTTCTGAGGAAGAGGTAGCTACAGCTGCAAGGGGGTATTCACAGTGAGCAGGAAGCCCACACTACTCACTCCTGCTGGGTGACAGGCCAAAGGATTAAAGCTATATGCCAGAGCAGATGGAGCTGGGGACCTGAGGCACAGGACAGCTTGTTCCAGGCACCAGAAGATGTCAGAGATGTCCAGGGTCTAACCAGACCAAAAGGTTCACCCTTCATTAGACCTGCTAGGCCAGTAGGAATCAGATTCCCCACTTCACCCACTGGATGGTTCATCTAATCTCTAGCTCCACTATGACAAACAGTGGGACATTAGGCAAGTCACTTTCTTTCTGAGCTTTAGGAATTCAGAAATAATGTAGTGTTTAAAGAATCCAGTTCCAGAAAACGGAGGCTGCAAAGAGGAATTCTGGGAGCTTCAAAGGCCATGGTGATGTTCCCTTTCTTAACTTAGATGCTAAGTACATGGGAATTAATTACACTGCCATTCTTTATAATATATATGCATTTTTAAAATCAATATTCTTCAATTTCTATATAATAGTAAAAGGAAAACAAAACATAATCCCCCAAATCCAGTCCTTTGGTAATTGGCTCTTTCTGCTGAACCAGTGTAGGCTGGCACTGCTCTGCCAACAGGCTGTTCCCTAATGTGTGGTCATGTCTGGTCCCAAGCACCAGAATCCTTATTAAAGGATTCCCATTTCCTCTTCTCCTCCCCACTGACCAGTTGAGGTCAGCAGGATGGTAAATGTGAGACCAGACATGTTAACACTGGCAACTCATTTTAATCTGAATCCCTGGCCACATTAAAATTCTGTGGTGTTGGGAGTTAATGTGCTGGACTGCAAGGTTGGTTTGAACCTCAAGGACAGAGGTTCAAGCTCACAAGCCGCTCCTTGGAAACCCTATATAAGGCTGCTATGAGTTGGAACCAACTTAACTTAACAATCAAAGGCACTTAACAACAACTCAACCAAGTCTCCACTCATAGGTTCAAAGGACCAGGGCTGAAGACATTCCTCATGCTGTCATACTCCAAACAGGGACTCCAAGCATGATGTATCCCCTGCCTCTGGTGGAACCTCAAGTAAGCAGAACCTGCAAACTTCTTGTCTAGTCAGCCAGTAAAAGTGTTTTTATATCATCCAGAGTTCTGGAAACTCCATTGTTATTCTCTGTGCCCTAATGACATAAAATGGCTTATTTCTAGTTTTAAAAATATGTTTATTCCAATGACTCTGACAGCTACGAAACCTGAAGCTTTGATCCTCCTGTGTAATTACTCCTAATAATGAACACAGTGCTGCTATTTACACACGTTGCTGTTGTTGTAGTTAAGTGCCATGGAGTCGGTGCTGAGTCACAGTGACCTGGACAGAGTTTCCAAGGAGCACCTAATGGGTTTGAACCGCCAACCTTGTGGTCAGCAGACCAGTGCTTATCTAACAGTGCTACATTAGGACTCATATTCTTTCTCAAATACAAAACACCCAGGAAAGATATTCTCCCCATTTGGCAAATGAAAAAACTGAGGCTGAGAGGCTAAAGTGATATCTCGATTGACACACAGTCATGGGAAAGTCAGGATTCTGACTCAAGTCAGTCTGGCTCCAGACTGTGTTCAGCAATATGGTATGAGAGATATTAACCTGAGGGAAAGAGTGCCCTAGGTGGGGTAGGTGAACTAAGGAAAAACCATTCTAGAAAACGAGATCAATGTTCTTGAAACCCATCCTGTTGCAAACTAAGGTTGTGCTCACATACTGGCTACTCTACTGAGGGACCAGCCACAACTGAGTCTGGGCCTGCTGGACTGGGTGGTTCTTGCCTGTGCAATGAGGGCGTCACAAGCAGCAAATGCCATTTCCTCTTCACAGTCAAGCTAGACTGGACACTGCCTCACCAGGCCACCACCTGTAAGAGCAGCCTTGGCTTGGCAGTCCCAGCCAGCTGTTTACCTTCTGTTCAGTGGCTCACTTTTATAGGTAAGTTTCTTGCTGGCCCCTGGTCAGTTTCACTTCCTGGTTGACACCTAGACACTCCCAAAACAACAGAGCCTTCCTTTGAAGTCTGAAGGCCTGTGTTCATTCTTGACACCTTGTTATGCACCTGCAGTAAGCAAGGAGAAGCTCAGTAACTTCCCTCCTCATTTTAAGGTGGAGAATCAAGTGTGGGCTCATTGACACTGCCTCTTTATCACGGAGGGCTTAAAACCCATTCCACAAACATCTGCCAAGTTCTTTCTGTGTGTCAGGGTAATCCTGAGTGCTGGGAACACAGAGGCATGATTCCTACCCTAAGGGAACCCAGAGCCATTGAAAAGAACCTCCACCAGAGTACAAAGAGCCTCTAAGGGAAACACGGAGGTGGTGGTGGTGGTGGGGACCCTAGAGCACAGCCAGATCACTGCTAAGCCATCTTCTGAGGAAGAGGTAGCTACAGCTGCAAGGGGGTATTCACAGTGAGCAGGAAGCCTAGTGTTGTCTGTCTTCTCAGAACCGCTGGGTGCAGTGTTGGGGTCTAGAGTTGCATTTCCAAGGTTTAGAGTTACACTATCCCCAACAATAGGAGCATGGTAGCTTTACAGCATAAGCACTGAACAGCAAACCACAATGTTGGTGGTTTGAGCAAAAGATTTAAAGCCTTGGAAACCCTATATAGGATCACTATGACTTGAAACTGACTCCAAGGCACTTAACACATGTGGATTTTTAAATTTACTTAAAGTTGAATAAAATGTTAAATTCAGCTCCTCAGTCACTTGCAGCTACTTTATAAGCTTATTGTTGTTAAGTGCCGTCGAGTCAATTCTAACCCTGTACAGAACGTCTGAGGAGCAGCTGGTGTGTTTGAACCACCAACTTTGTGGTTTGTAGTCCAGTGCTTAAACTACAGTACCACACCAGGAGTCTATTGGCTAGAGGCTCATGAATCTGGATTCCAGTCCTAGTCCTTCCACTTACTAGTCATGTGACTGTGAACAAGTGGGCTCTTCTCCCTTTCCTTATCTCATGTGCAATGGAAGTACTTTCCTTATAAGACTGGGGAGAAGAGAAAATGGACTGAACCACACAGCAAGTGCTGAAGAAACAGTAGTGATTTTTTACGCTCACCACTGGCCCATAAGCACCTAAGGGGTAGACACTGTGCCTCAGGTGCTGCTAGCATAGCAGATGCCAGTAAATGCCTAGCGAGTCCTTTCCCCTGGCTGCCTCATGCAGGGGCCAGGCTGACACAAGACTCTCAGCAGCAGAGGGTTAGAGGCCGGCATACTCACATCTGTAGAGATGGTTCCACACGGGGAAGAAGGCCATGTAGAGTGCCACATCCCCAACTGTTGGATAGGACTTGAAGATAGAGATGACTGCAATCTGGATGAACATGAAGAAGATGGGGTGCTCCCTAGGGCAAAGCAGGGGAAGACAGACAGACAGAAATCAGTCAGGGACCAAGCCATCCCAGAGACATCTTACCCCATCCCCCAAACCCCAAAACTCTTCCTAGGGGACTTTAAGATGGGCTTCTCTCTGCTACTCACAGGAAGGTGCCAGACTTCAGGGGCAGAGTAAAACACTGCAGGGACCCAGGGATGCCCAGAGGTGGTGAGGAGGGCTCCACAAAGCTACATACAGCCTGCAGAGACATTTCTCATCAACACCTCCCCCTGCCCCACCCTCCACCCTCTCCCCCGGCCCCCCTTGCCCCCACACCAGCTCCAGGCCTTCCCCTATGAGCCACCCGGGAAGAAAACAAATGAAATCAGTGATCCTATTATTCGGCCTAAAAGTCCACTTGTTAGAGTCATTAGGCAGCCTCCCCCTCCAGAGGCCCCTCAGACAGCTGGACACAGGACAGGAAGTACTTCCTTGCTGATGCTTTCTGCTCTGACAATATGGTTAGTAAGATCTGCAGCCCTTAGTGCTGATGAGTACCTTTCCAGAAAGACAACAGAGAGATAGATGTATGCAGCTTTTCAGCTCTTAAGGGTTGGATGTGGAATTTTGTTACCTTAAACTAGAACTAGGAGTCCTGGTGTGGTGCTGTAAGATACGCATTGGACTGCTATTCACAAGGTTGACAGTTCAAACCCACCAGCTACTCCTCGGAAACCCTATGCAGGGTTGCTATGAGTCAGTGGCACTTAACAACAACAAACTAGTAGTAAGTAGTAGCAATGGTTACTATTTTATGAGCCTTTATTCTGTACTAAGTTCTGTGCTGGTATTGTAAAGTCCTAGAGTAGTGCTGTAGGATACGCACTGGACTGCTAACCCCCAAAATCTGGCCATTCAAACTCACCAGCCACTCCTTGGAAATCCTACACAGGGTCTCTATGAATGAGAACCAACTCCACAATACTTCACAACAATAACATGTTCTATTAGGCTCTTTACTTGAATCATCCCAGGTGATCCTCACAACACCTCAACTACCCCTCAAAGTACGTAATACCATCACCTATGCTTTTCAGATGAGGAAATTGAGGCTCTGAGAAATTAAGTGAGTTGATGAAGGATGTTAGTAAGCTCCTAACTGCCACCAATATTGTTCTCCTGCATGCTTACTATACTCAAAGCTCCATTCCAGGGAAGGTGGTCAGGAGGACTCAATCTCCACTGTCCACCCCCGAGCTCTGACCAAGTACTGAAGGGAAACAGGAAGAGGTCAAACCTAGGACCCCCCTCAGCTACACCTAAAACACATACACATGTATGGCCTTCTTCTGCATAGTCCCTGGATGCCCAGCTCATGAGTTTTCTTCAGAGGTTAATGACATTCTACTCTTCCGGTCAAAGATCAGAGTGACTCAATGGATGTAAATCTGAGATGTAGAGACAAACATGTACACACCCTAAACACTCCAGCTTGTCAGTCATACTATCCTATAAGCAGCCTGTCAGAATTGTCCAGCTAGCTCAGTGAACATCCTCAATATCTTTGTAAAGCCAAATCATGGGATCTGGGCTTTTTAGGTAACAGCAGTATCATTTCTACAGAAAGTGACTCTAGATAGGGGCAGAGGCGGCCTCAGGTCCCTGTTCCCACAAAGCTAGCACTGGAACACACTGGGGCTGCAGAGTTTAGGTGGAGTTTCATATTCAGGTACAAGTGCCAGCATTCTCTTCGTAACCTTTGGCCTGGGGGATCCCTGTACAGTGTTGTGATTGTCTACCCAAGTGTTTCCTGTGACTTGTCACACACCAAGAAAAGCCATGAGGAGCGGTACTCTCAGGTCCCTGCTTCTCTCAGTCTAGGGAAGGTAGACCACAGATAACCAGAGAGCTGTGCTGGGCGAGGCTGCTAGAGTTCTAAGTGCTGTCAGACCAGGGAAAGGTGGTTTTCTATCAGCTTCCAGGCCATAGCTGTTTCACAGGAAATTAGCATCAGGTCAGGGCTTTTCCAAAACAGGAATGATATGCATTGGTCATACAGAATGGCAGAAGGGTTAGAGCAGAGGAGTGAAGCTCTTGAAATCTAAACCCAACTTTTCTCCAGGTTCTCTGGACTACCCAGGCACATCTGTATCTAGTTTGAGCCTATTTCCTCTTCTCTAAAGCGAGGAGAATAGAAGCCTTTAGTAAGGCTACTACAGTCTGATCTCTGTCAGGAGTTGGCAAGGAGTAAGGAGAATAAGCATAAATTCTGGAGCCAGACACAGCTGGGTGTGAATACCAACTCCACCGCTTACTGGTGTATGACACTGGGAAAATAATTTCCTCTCTGAGCATCTGTTTCCTCAACTACAAAATGGGGAAGCTGATAATAATATAAATTCCTACCTCTAAGAGTTGCTGGACTACATTTACAGAGAGCCTAGAAAGTCACCGGGGACAGAGCAGTGCTCACACACTAGCTCTTTCACTGCAGGAGAGAGCGCTGAAAACAAACCCTTCTGGGGGAAATTGATCAGAAGATTAGAGAGAGCTGCAAATGGTCAGTCTCCCAATTAATGCATCCTGATGTCCCTCGGGCAAACTCTCTGAGCTGATTGACAACACCCATCCAGATCTATTATTTTCAAAGTCATCCCCCATTCCCAACTCTTGTCAAAACAGTCAATCTGACCAAACTGAGGCATCAGCAGCAGAACCAACGCAGTGTGGATTCAAGTGCCTCACAGGGAGACCAAGGAAAATGTCTGGGTCCCAATGCACCTTCTCTGCAGCCTGAACTCGTGGGACTCTCTATTGGTAGCCATGGTACCTGAGGTGAATGAGAGCAAGGTTCCTTGGGCAAAGCTATATGAACCTGATGACATGGTCCCAGTTTGAAGGGGACCTGGAAAGGCTACTGAGGGTAAGGATGAAAACTCTGTGCACAAAGCAAGTAGCAGGTCCCATCACTTACTTTAGTTTTATGGCTAAGGGAATGGTGTAGAAGAAGACGTTGATCTGAAACACGCATACAAAGAAAAGACTGAAGTGCTCAAACATCTCTGCAAAGAAGTACCAGAAAAGACCAATGTTTGGAGTGAGATCTGGAACAGAAAGTCTGAAATTAAAACAAAGGGAGAGAAAAAAGAAAATAAAGTTATAAATAGTCTGCTTTGACCTTATTTTCTCCTGAAGACTTTGGTCACTGTTGGCCAACCAAGGATGACTTTACCCCTACAGAGGTCATAATGCAAAAAACTCTCTGGGTACCCTGAACACGAGCAATTAACAAAACCAAGAGGCAGAGAATGATAACCCTGCCAAAAATATTAATGTGTCCCTATCTCTGCATCATGCATTAAAGCTCTGAAATGAATCAATCCTTTTACCACACAAGACATATAAGTTTAAAATCAGGAGACATACCCAGTACTTTAACAGAAAAGGAGTGGGTTTTAAATAAATATCTATTTTGGTTATTCCAAAGACCTGCCTAGAGGAACAAGCTCAAAGACCCTGCTCTTCATTGTCCTTGTTACATAGCCCCACAACAGAAGCCAGAAGACTGCATTTCTGAGACTTCAATGAGACTGCCAGGGGCCTGAGGAACCATCAGAAAGTTCTGGCTACCATTTCCAGGGTCCATCCTCATATGCTGGAACCGACTCAAAGGCACTTAACACCCTCATATGAAAAATTTAGAGTTGAACTGGAAAACATTTTGTTTGGCTAAATCAGACCAAAACTGGGTGAAATTCTGACTCTTCTAAAAGTTTACATTCAAATTGATCTCAACTCACAATTTAAAACAAAGACAACCAACTGGGCATGGAAAGGGATAGATGGGCAATGGTTCACTGACCAAGGCCTTCTCTCAAGGTAAGTCTTTGCCTCTTGTTGTAATGGTATTTGCTTTTGTGTGAAATGAGATAAACTGTCCAGCAGTAAGACAGGCAAAGGTCTTCATCAGCCATTACAAACTCCTATTCAAGGCAGAGCATGAAATGGAATTTATATTTAACATATAAACATATATTTAACATTTAT